AAGGGCACGCCTGCACGCAGACACTGAACGCTGTGGAGCAAGGAGTACCTTTGGGTCTGGAGCTCCTCCGTGTCCGTCCTCGGGGCTCCAGTCTGCCCGCCGCTCTCCCGCCCGCCGCCTGCGGGGCCGCCCTGTCCCCCGCGGCCTCCGGGCTGCCGTCGGGATGCAGCTTCTGGGCCTTGACGTTCAGCCTTGCGACGTTCAGCATCTTTAGGGAGCGGCACATGGTCTTCATTTTCTGACGCACAGGCGTGCGAGGGACGCCTCCTACCAGCCATGGGGGGAGGGAAAGTAAAAGAGATTTTACCGCCCTGGACCAAGAACTACTTCAGTTACCAAAAAGACAAAAACCCTGCACTAAGAGCTACTTTGCCCATTTTTAAAAAATACATTTTTTACTGATTTTTTTACAGAGAGGAAGAGAGAGGGATAGACAGTTAGAAACATCGATGAGAGAGAATCATCGATCAGCTGCCTCTTGCATACCCCCTACTGGGGATGTGCCCGCAACCAAGGTACATGCCCTTGGCCGGAATCGAACCCGGGACCCTTCAGTCCGCAGGCTGATGCTCCATCCACTGAGCCAAACCAGTTTCGGCTACTTTGCCCGTTTTATGATGCAAAAACTTTTCCTGGAAGCTTATGCCAAGGAAATCACTAAAGAACCAATCAAATCATACACATGATGTACACTACAGTACCATTTACAGTAACAGTATCAATCAAAATATTCAACAACAAAAGAATTCTGTAAATTTCGTTAAGCAGTGAGGTGGAATAGTAACTGAAAAGGCAAGACAGCAGATGAACGAATAATTCTGTAAGCGACACGCAAAGTTGTATTTAAATTTGTTAGAATGAAAAATGAAAATGGCTAATTCATTAAGAAGGTAAAATTGTGGCTCGTTTTTTATTATTTTGTTAATCTTCACTAAAGTATAATTTGTCCACGGATTTTTAGAGTGGAAAGGTGGGGGAGAGAAAAAGAGAAACATCAATATGAGGAGGATTGGTTGGTTGCCTCCAGCACACCCCCCTCAGCCAGGGCCAGGGACTGAACCTGCAACCCAGGTACCTGCCTCACCAGAATCAAACCTCAGGCCCTTCAGTGCACAGGCCAACACTCTAACCAGTGAGCCACACCGGCCAGGGTTGTACTAATGTAATTATTTTGAAATTTAAAACTAGAAGAACTTGTCCTTGTTTGTTCAGTTACCATTTTCAACCTCATTTTGGGGAGTATTAACCCTTTAAAACATTCAGTCTCCAAAAATACTCAGGAAAGCTCCCTGGTAGGAGCGTACGTTTCTTTTTGCCGTCCTCCTGGTTAGACGCGGCGGGCTCTTCACGAGACTTTCTCAGGTAGAGCTCGGACAGGCGGCGTGTGACCTCACTCTCAGTCTTGGAAGATTCTTCCTTATTGGGCGGGGCAGCCTGCAGTAGCCTGTGAACAAGTCAAGAGGGCTGTGTGAAGCTGAAATTCTCATTTCCCAAAATGCCTTTGAGACAAAACGACAATAACAACCAGATCCCTCCAAGACTAAATGCTTGTTAACAGTTTGCCATATCTGCTTCAGATCTTTTGTTTTTAATAAAATTTAGCATTATAGACACAGAGAAAACCCCAATTTTTTCCCAACAACCGGCATAAACTGCTATTTTATGTTGTAAATTGTTTAAAAATATACTATTCCATCCTTTTATGATTTTGATTGTACTTAACATCATTTCATGTGCAAATAAATAGGTATTAAGTATATTCATGTTGTGCTACCATTACCCCATCCATCTCCACAACTGTCTTCATCTTGTAAAACTGAAACTGTACACCCATTAAACACTCTCCATTTGTAATTAGTTTTCATTTATTTTTTTTAACTATGAAATTTAGTTTAATTTCAGTAGAAGCGGTTTTTAATATGATCCTACCGGTTTTAAATTTGCTTTTCAGAATTGTTCCCCCCCAATTATAGCCGACACTATTTTATATTAGTTGCAGCATAGTAATTAGACGTTTATATGATTTATAAAGTGGAGCCCCAACAAGTCTAGCACACACCTGGCACCATATATAGTTACGTAATTAGTTTTGTACCTTATTGAACTATACTAATAAAATGTGGTATGTTATGAAAAGAAAAAAAAAAAAACCCACCCACATCGAGATAACTGAGAGCTGATTTCAATGACCGATTCCCAGAGAAATAAAAGGAGTTTTACCAAAATGACTCCATCAGGTTGGAACTGGCGCCACTGAGGCTGGAGCAGGGAAACCAGCTCTCGGCAACAGCGGTTCGCCAGGGCGCGGTGCGGCCAAGCTCCTGCTGGACCCACTCTGGACAGGGAGGAGCTGCGGGGACGAGCAGAGACGGAAGGGAAAGAGGCATGAGGACCAAAGTGGTCATCCCCGTCTCTGGCCTGCCACGGGCTGACCGCCTTCTCCCCGAGGACATACAAAGCGCAGCACTGACAACCTTCCTTCGTCTGCACCCCTCCCCCAGGCCAGTGTCTATGGAAACGGCTGTGCTGACAATGCACAAGCGCAGGCTTAGGGCTGCTCCCCAAACACAGCGGACCCACCTGCCCAGGGCATCTCAGGGAGTTTGCTCCCTGCAGCTCCCTTCAGGCCTGGGTTCAAATATGGCTTTTCCAAGCAAGCCCATTTAAAAAGGCACTCCTCCTGTCCCTTAACTGCCCCATTCCCTTTTTTCTGTTTATTATATAGCATGTATCGCTCTCAAATGTCCTCTAGAATTCCCTTAGTTTATTGTCCTGTATTCCAACTGAATGGTACACTCAGTGAGAACAAGACCTCGGTTTACTCTGTTCACTGGTGTATTATTCCCAATACGAAGGACAGCGCCTGACATGCAGCAGGCACTCACTAAATCTGTTGAATAAATGAATAAATGGAAGAAATAGCAAGTTAATTGCATGTTCATCTACCTAGCATAAATGACAATGCCATGAACTGGAAGGCAGGCAGAATCATGGCAGTTTCACGTGCAGTCTTTAGTAAATACATTAAAAACCAGGTTTCATCTTATTCTCTAATTTAAAAGCGATTTCGGAGCCTTTGGCCTCCTCTGAATGCTTCAGAATTCTGTCAAAAATGACCATTTAAATTACCTAAAATACTAGTTTGCTCTGACCTGTTTTATAACAGAGGCCCAGTGCACAAAATTTGTGCACTGGGAGGGGCTGTCCCTCAGCCCGGCCTGAGCCCTTGTCTGGGGATCAGGCCTAAGCCAGCAGTCAGACAGCCCTCTCGCAGTCTGAGACCCCTCTCCTCACTGCCTGCCTGCAGCAGAGACGGGAGAGCCTTCCGCCACTGCTGTTGTACTTGCCAGCCGTGAGCCTGGCTTCTGGCCGAGCAGCACTCCCCCTGTGGGAGCATCTGGCCCCTGGTGGTCAGTGTGCATCATAGCAACCGGCCCTTCCACCTTTCGATCAATTTGCATATTAGGGTTTTATTACATAGGATACTGGGGTTCTACTGAGAGCAGAGTTGGGGGGGGGGGGGTGCCAGCTGATGGTTGTGAACTTACCGGAGGTAGACGGGTCTTCCCGTAAACCCAAGGTCGGACCCAACACGACCCCCATGACATCGGAACACAGGGATGTGGTGTCCAGGGGGTTCTCGGCCACAGCTGTTTGGAGAAAATGCCTCTGAAATGCAGCCGCCTCGGTGCGGAGCACGGTGAGAACGGTAGTGGTGGTAGAGAGCGGGGAAATTACTCCTGTGACGGGGGGCCAGCCGTCACCGGGGTCCACGCTGGCGACCTACAGAGGAAGTTCCAGCTGGTTGAGAACATTGCTGACGTGCATAAAGGAGAAAGCAGGCCGGTGAGAGGCCAGGACGGTTTTCCCAGGCCTTAGAGAGAATGTAATTTAGCTTAATGGGATAAAGATACATGCAATGGCCCTAACCGGTGTGGCTCCGTGGATAGAGCGTCAACCTGCAGACTAAAAGGTCACAGGTTTGATTCCGGTCAGGGGCATGTACCTTGGTTGCGGGCACATCCCCAGTAGGAGGTGTGCAGGAGGCAGCTGATCAATGTTTCTCTCTCATTGATGTTTCTATCTCATTCCTTTCTTCTCTGTAAAAAATCAATAAAATATATTTTTTTTAAAAAAGATACATGCAATGTTATAAACTGCTTCTTCACTGATAAGCACTGTCGTCATCCACAGTGTAGACGATATTATTATTTACACAAGCACCACCTGTTGCACTGAGATGATATTACAGAGGACAATCCTGGGCGTTTCACAAACACACTCATTCCCCTTTACCAGTGATTTAGACCAGCGGCTGCCAACCCTTTGGACCTCATGGACCACCAGTGGTCCATGGACCACCAGCTGCCGACCACTATATTAGACAGGGATGACCCAACGTGTGGGAGGCCTACCAGGTGTAACTCTTCGGCAGTCAGCCTGTGGACCAGCTGCTGGAACAATGACCTGTGGGCCGGCTGCTTCTCCTCCGGACTCCAGAGCATCCAGCTGTCGGTGCCCAGCAGGCTGCTCGCTGGGAGGGACCATTGGGAGGCCGTGCCGTCCAGGAAAATTCTGACTGGCTTCTGAAAATGTCTCTGATGCATGGCTAAGGGCTCTAGGACGACTGTCCATGCTTCTTGAGTCTCTTCGCCTGTTAGGAAGAGAGAACATTAAAATCGGGACGAAACAAACACTCACTAAAAGATTTGATAGCAAGAGAAAAGCTAGAATGTCAGCTGAGTACTAGGATCGCCACTTAGTTCACACTCGGCCCTCATTCTGCTGCCAAGTTCCTATTGCTTCCCGGGAAAAGCTGTGCACGGGCGGAACTGCAAGGGCACGACTGGATGTCATACGTTCTTTTTTTTTTCTCTTTTTTTTAAGTATATTTTATTGATAATTTACGGAGAGGAAGGGTAAGGGATAGAAAGTTAGAAACATCGATGAGAGAGAAACATCGATCAGCTGCCTCCTGCACACCTCCTACTGGGGATGTGCCTGCAACCCTTCCCTGTGGCACCTCTGACTTGGCTCAGACATATTTTAATTACAATCACTCAGTGCCTGGGCTGTGGAAAGCCTAGAGAATTTGAAAGCATAGGCCTGCCTTAAAGAAATGTATATAAATGACACCCCCTCCACCCCAACATTATTTGCTTACCTTCAACAGGGAGAAATAACGTTCCTTCCGTCCGTGGAAACGAGGCTTCGTACTCGGGAGAATTGCAGAGCAGACAGTTTAAGATGGAGTCTGTGGGCAGTGCTGACACCCACGAGGAGAGGGGAGGCTCACGGGGGAGCTGGGTCTCCCCAGCTTTCGTACCATCTGGGCTCAAAGTCTCCAACGGCAAGACGGTGCCCCCCACGTGCTGGAGCAGTTCACACAGCGTCCAGTACCCAAGGTGGTCCGGGGACTCCCACAGCTAAAATGAAATTACGAAGAACCTCGGGTTATTCCAAAGAAGGCATTCAGCTAAATGTGAGGGAAATCGGGAGGAAGGAAAGGTGATTTCTACTCTGAGCGAACAAATGGCACAATCATGTATCTGTTGGACTCAACACAGAAAATGGCCAGCGTCTTATCACCGTACAGTCCAAGAATGTAATCTATACTAATAAAAGGGTAATATGCAAATTGGTCGGGACACCCTCACGATAACGACCAAATAGCAGGCTTCATGGGGCAATGATGTCGGTTAGTGAGGGGTGGCCAAACGACTGAACAAGCAGGCTGCATGGGGTGACCAGGCTGGCAGAGGGAACAGTTGAGGACAATAAGGCAAGGGGGTGGGGGGGGGGGCAGTTAGGGGCAACCAGACCAGCAGAGGGGGGTCAGTGAGGGGTGACTAGGCTGGCAAGAGGGACATTTAGGGGCAACCAGGCCAGTGGGGGAGGTGATGGGGCAGGCGAGGGGACAGTGGGGATAACTAGGCCGGCAGTTAGGGGCAATCAGGCTGGCAGGTAGAGGCGGTTAGGAGTGATCAGGCTGCAGGGGCAGGCAGTCAGGGATGATCAGGCAAGCAGGCAGGTGAACAGTTAGGAGAAGGAAGGAAATAAATTAAGATCAGAGCAGAAGATAAAGCATATAGAGACCAAAGAAACAATACAAAAGATAAACAAAACCAAGAGTTGGTTCTTTGAAAGGATAAACAAGATTGACGAACCTCTAGCCAGGCTCACCAAGAAGCAAAGAGGGAGGACCAAATAAACAAAATCAGAAATGAAAGAGATGAAATAACAACAGATCCCGCCAAAATACAAAGTACTGTTACAAAATACTTCGAACAACTTATTCCAACAAACTGGACAACCTGGAGGAAATGAACAGATTCCTAGAAAAATACAACCTTCCAAAACTCAATCAGGAAGAATCTAGACAGCTCAATAGGCCAGTAACTACGGAAGAAATTGAAGAAGCCATCAAAAAGCTTCCGGTAAACAAAAGCCTGGGGACAAACAGCTTCACAGGAGAGTTTTGCCAAACATTCAAGGAAGAACTAAAACCTATCCTCCTAAAAAAAATTCCAAAAAATTCAAGAGGAAGGAACACTTCCAAGCTCCTATTATGAAGCCAGCATCACCCTAATACCAAAACTAGATAAAGACAACACAATGAGAGAGAACTACAGGCCAATATGCCTCATGAACGTAGATGCCAAAATCCTCAACAAAATTCTAGCAAATCGGCTCCAGCAGTACATCAAAAAGATCATACACCATGACTAAGTAGGATTTATCCCAGGGATGCAAGGATGGTACAATAGCAGCAAATCAATAAACATGATACATCACATAAACACATTGAGAGATAAAAATCCATAGTCATCTCAATTGATGCAGAAAAAGCATTTGACAAAATCCAACACACTTTCCTGATAAAAACTCTCAACAAGGTGGGAATAGAAGGATCATACCTCAACATAATAAAGCTATATGTGATAAACCCACAGCAAACATCATACTCAATGGGCAAAAACTAAAACCATTTCCCCTAAGAATAGGAACAAGACAGGGATGCCCACTCTCACCACTCCTGTTTGACATAGTACTGGAAGTATTAACCATTGCAATTAGACAAGAAGAAGAAATAAAAGGCATCCAAATTGGGAAAGAAGTAAAACTGTCCTTATTTACAGATGACATGATATTGTACATAAAAAACCCAGAAGACTCCATCAAAAACTAATAGACTTAATAAATGAATTCGGCAATGTAGCAAGATACAAAATTAACACCAAGAAATCTATGGTCTTTCTATACACCAATAGTGAACTTACAGAAAGAGAGACCAAAAAAATTAACATATCTAGGAATAGACTTAAGGAAGTAAAAAAACCTATACTTGGAAAACTACAGGACACTAAAAAAAAAAAAAAGAGAGAGATAGAGGAAAATGTTAACAGAATGAAGAACATACCATGTTCATGGATTGGTAGAATCAACATCATTAAAATGTCCATACTACCCAAAACAATTTATAGATGCAATACGCTCCCCATTAAAAAACCAATGGCTTATTTCACAGATCTAGAAAGAATTCTCCAAAAATTCATCTGGAATAAAAAAGGGCCCCGAATAGCCTCAGTAATCCTGATAAAGAAGAATAAAGTAGGAGGGATCTCAATACCAGATTTCATGCTGTAGTACAAAGCTAGTGTTCTCAAAACAGCCTGGTACTGGCACAAGAACAGACATATAGATCAATGGAATATAACAGAATCCACAAATCGACTCAAATCACTATGCCCAATTAATATTTGTCAAAGGAGGCATGAACGTACAATGGAGTCAAGACAGTCTCTTCAATAAATCACGTCGGGAAAATTGGACAGATACATGCAAAAAAACGAAACTAGACCACCAACTTACATCATACACAAAAATAAACTCAAAAATGGTTAAAGGACTTAAACAGAAGACAGGAAACCATAAAAATACTAGAGGAATTCACAGGCAGCAAAATCTCAGACATATGCCGGGAAGAACTTCGCTGAAACTGCCCCTAGGGCAATAAAAGCTAAAGAGAAAATAAACAAATGGGACTACATCAAAATAAAAAGCTTTCCCACAGCAAAAGAAACCATCAACAAAACAACAAGAAAGCCCACAGTATGGGAGAACATATTTGCAAATGTTATCACTGATAAAGGTTTAATCTCCAACATCTACAGGCAGCTTATACAACTTAATAAAAGGAAGATAAATGACCCAATAAAGAAACAGGCAACGGACCTAAATAGAATCTTTTCTAAAGAAGATAGGAAGGCCCAGAGGCACATGAAAACATGCTCAAAGTCACTAATTAACCGAGAGATGCAAATCAAAACGACAATGCAGTACGATGTTTCTCTCTCATCGATGTTTCTGGCTCGCTATCCCTCTCCCTTCCTCTCTGTAAAAAATCAATATATATATAAAACTATTCTGAAAAGAAAACGGGGGCGGGGGTGGGGGGGTGGGGGAGAAGAATCTCCAGACCCCCATCTGCAAAGATGTAGTTCTAGTCGGTGTAAGATTTGATATTATCCCAACTGTGGACTGTGCCCAACATTTGCTTTGCTGCCAGAACAAGTGTTAAGTCCTAGGTTTCCATTTTCCCCACCAAACGGGTACCATCTCCGTAGGCATTTCTGTCCTTTTCTTTGACAAGCCTGCTGCCTTGTTTTGCATTTTGCTATACCTTGGAGGGTGGGGGGGTGGCTTTGTATGTGAAAGGTGCTGACATTTTTATTTACTTTTTTAAAAATGTATTTTATTGATTTTTTTTTTTACAGAGAAGAAGGGAGAGGGATAGAGAACTAGAAACATCGATGAGTGAGAGACATCGATCAGCTGCCTCCTGCACACCTCCTCCTGGGGACGTGCCCGCAACCAAGGTACATGCCCCTGACCGGAATCGAACCCGGGACCCTTCAGACTGCAGGTTGACGCTCTATCCACTGAGCCAAACCGGTCTCGGTGGTGTTGAAAATTTTAACATATTATGTCATTATTTGAGTAACTGCTCATTCCCCATTTGTAATCTTACAACCTAACCCACTTATTGATTAGCAACACGCATTTCCACAAACCGGAATCAGCTTTCACCTGGTGAAACCACACCTTCCCACCTGGGGCCTGCGGATAGATGAGCCCCTCCCATTTCCTGACTTCCTCTCCGAGTCTCACGCTTGCCTTTCCCGTGTCTCAAATCAACTCAAGTTCATCTCTCGCTCAGATCGGTACGTCAGGTCATCTCTCTGCCTGGAATGTTCTTTCCCAACCTCCACACTCCTCCTCCTTCACCATTCAATTCTCTGTTCCGAGGTGACTGCCATTCAGCTGAGCACAACACCCCGCACACACCCCTTCTACCACACCCCTCCCCAGCTGTCTTTTTTTTTTTTTTTAATATATTAGGCACAGCGCCAATTCTTTTTTTTTTATATTTTATTGATTTTATACAGAGAGGAAGAGAGGGGGATAGAGAGTTAGAAACATCGATGAGAGAGAAAACATCGACCAGCTGCCTCCTGCACACCCTCCTACCGGGGATGTGCCCGCAACCAAGGTCCATGCCCTTGACCGGAATCGAACCCGGGACCTTTCAGTCCGCGCGCGCGCCGGCGCTCTACCCACTGAGCCACACCGGCTCCGGCGCGAGGCCCTCGCCTGGTGTCTTGCTTATTATAGGCCGCTCCAAACCCGGTGAAACCCCCGAAGGCACGGCGCCCTCTCACCTTTGACCTCTCGGCGGTGTCCACCCAGTACAACGTGACCTTCCGGGTGACCATGACCTCCTGGAGCCTCCTGGGCAGCAGCTTGTCCATCAGCTGCTTCGGGGTGGGCGGCGGGGCCTGGGCCTGGGCCTGGGCCTCGCAGCCGCCGGACACGAACTGGAGCAGCTCCCGCCGCGAGCGCGGGCAGGGGCCGAGCAGGAGGACGGCGTTGGCGAAGCCCCCGAGCGCCGCGCCGGCCTCGGCGGCCTCGTCGCTCTCGGCGTCCAGCAGGCGCCTCC